ATCTGTTGTTGCTGAATGAACGCTTGATAAACTTGAACTTGGTGATGATGTTGTTAAACCAGCAAGTAATGATGTATGTGTAGATGGTTGCGTTATTATCTGTTGTGTTTGTTGTTGGTGTTGTTGATTATGTGGTTGATATTGTTGGGATTGAAGGCTACGCATGATTGATATTGATTGACTTGTTGTATTGTTTGAATGTTGCGATGGTGGTGATGATGATGAAGCATAAGCTGAATCCGAAAATGAGAACGCACTTGATGAACCATTTGAACTCGAGCCTGAACTATCATGACTTAAACAGGTTGAAAGAAGTGTATTTGATGATACATCTGATGTTGGAGGAAATAGACCAAAGAATGGCGAATTCTAAATAGATATAAAAAAAGATGAGTAAACGGTTCATATATTTTTTCTTTTTCAATTAAATGTGACAGTCAACCAACGAGCACTCAATAGTGTCTTGGCTGGGCCAAAGGTCATCATTTATATATGCATACAAATGGTTGACAACTACAGCGTCTCCCTTTGCTCCTACTTTAGGTCGTTTTTTTTCTATTCCTTAGAAAGTTACGTACTCATTAACTAATATAGAAGAATGATTCTTCTATTTATTTTATGTCTACAAACACAAAGGAACATTTTTTTTTCAAAGTGATAAGAAATAAATCAAAAAGAAAAAAAAACCAAAGAGAACTCTATTTATCTATTGTAATGCTAATAAATGACACATTAAAAATTATTCTTTTCAATTTTATTTTCATTATCGATGACAATAATGCCATTTAAATAGCCTTTATTTTTATCTGTCAATATTGCTTACCCATAAATCATTATCAAAATCGAACATTGTTATTTATACTGCTGTTGCTCGGCTTCCACTACTAACAAATGGACTTCTTTTCTGTCATCATATAGCGTGAGCAAAGCGTCTGACTGACGAACGATTTGTCAAAGTTGCCCGTCTTTCTCTGCTTCTTTTTTTTTTTCTTTTCTTTCTTTCGTTCTTATTTTTTCTCTCATTTTCTCTCCCCATCAATTGTGTTCCGTATGTATTTTTAAGCAGAATAGATCGTCAAGGTATCTCGGGTTTTTTTTTCCTTTCTGCTCACTCTTATATTTCTATGTATATTTATATATATATACATGTAGACGATTGATGTGAACATGTCAAAATCAACGACTGTCATGAGTCAATGGAAATTTCCAAATGTTTTTTCTATGAATTTTCCATCGTTCTGAAAGAAATAACTAATGAATGCCGTTTGAACTTTTTTTTTCGTGACCGCAGGAATAGAAAAAAAAAACTCGAGCACATCTGTAGAGAAAAAATTTAACCTATATGCAGATGTTCCCATAATAATAACATATGCACAGATTCAATCATAATTAATATCATTCGTATTCAAACCGAATGTACATTTTTTCCCATATTCTTTTTTTTTAGTCTCATAAAAAACAAAATAAAAATTCAAAATCATTTCTATTATTGTTTATTTAATTTCTCTCTGTTTTTATTTTGCTTCTCTGATTTCTTTTTATTATTGTTAAATTAACTATTCACTATATTAAATGAGATCGGCAATTCAAGTGGACTTATTTGATTATATATATATGACTCATGAAACACTTTCTTAGAGTTATAACACGAATAAGAAAAAGAAAAAGAAAAACGTATTAAAACAACAAATGAGATTCTCATGTTTTTTTTTCACACTCTTTTTTTTTTGTTGCAGGCAACTTTTTCAAGGTGATATACATATTATAAAGTAGCTGATACATATATACATTGGTCGAACACAAACAACACTAATAATAATAACGATATTTATCGTTGTAGATGAAAACGAAAGAAAGAAAAAAAAAAGAAAACTTTTTTTTTTTCATTTATCATAATTTATCTTAGTTGTTCACGTTTGCATCCCCAACAAATACAGTGACATGAGGAGACTCAGAGAGTAATAAATCGTAAAATGTATCTTTTTCTTTTTCTTTCTCTTGTGTATATTTGTGATGTAAATCAAAGAAATTCTCTTAACAAAGTAAATGTACATATTTATATAATAAACATTAGATCTCGAATAGAATATGTTAATCTATTGGTCAAATGTAATATTTTTTTTGTCGATAAAAGCCGGCGATATGATATATAGACGGAATGTAGAGAGCATCATCATCATTTAGATGAAAATTAGAAGCAATGAAGAAGAAATAAGAATGAAGATTTACGCATTTTGTCATAGCTTGAGGATAATCAAAACAGACAAAAAAAAATTGTTTTCACTTAATTAATGCTTGAATTATTTCGTTTTGTTTTCCTGTTAGAAACACTTAGAATAAATCTAATAAAGAAAAAATAAATGATAGTAAATCAATGAATTAGTCTATTGTTGTTGCATGAATTATATCTCAATAAATTTGTTTCCGATGAACAGATAGAAAATCATTGTTTTCTTTTATTTTTAATATGAAGCTTTTCATTATATTCTACAAGAAAAAGGAAAAAATAACACATAATTATAGATTTTTACAATCATTTTTGTTTGTATAACATTAATTGAAGCATACGCTAATGAATACGAATTCATTCGATCTTCTTTTTTTTTTATCAGATGGCTCGATTAGAATCTCAAATTTCACCTCTCTCTCGCTCACTCACTCACTCACTCACTCTTTCTCTCTTTGCCTGTATGCTTCTCCCACGTTAGTATATTAACCACATCATATATATGTTTATATATTCTATCATATTTTTTTTCTGGTAAATGATTGTATAGGTAAAATGCACTTCACGTCAACATTGTTAATTTAAGCTTGGTAGCACAGATTCATGCACATTATGAATCGTTCGGAAAAAAAAGCGAAAACAACGTGTTGTTTTGGTATATATAACATTTGTTAAAAGCTTCAAATAACCCTACATATGCGAATCATAGATACCCGTTGACACAAACAACAATAAGCGCATATTCGAAAAGGAAAGAAAAAGAATGAAAAAGAAGCCAATGAAACAGAAAATAACCTATTTATATTAATTTATTATCTTACCTGGTCATGAACATCATCTTCTGCTTCATCAAATTGATTAGTTAAAAGAAAATCTTTATCACGATATGGATGTTGAACATCAATTAAAAACGAGGAATCATCGAGATCCCCATCGATAAAGATCGTTTTGAGAGTTGTTGGTATCATAGAATTTTTGTTTGAAAGTGAAAGCGTTAACAATGGTAACTAAAGTGGAAACTCAACAGTTCTGTTGTTGATTCTTTCTAATTGTAGATGATGTTATTCCATTATTTTCTTTGCTTTGCGCGTCGCGCCACCATTCTACTGTATGTGCTTATGTTGTTGTCGACCCGAGCAGCAAACGAACAGTCGGAAGAAAACGAGAGAAAGGGAGAAAGACGAAGCAACCGAAAGAATCGAAGAAAAGAAGAACAAGGGAGAGCTTTTTACATGCCAACGCTACTACCAAGGTTGGTTTGCTCTATATTTTCTGGAACAAGAAAGAAAAAAAAAAGGAGAAGAAAGAGAACTAATAAATAAAAAACAGACGAGTCGATATAAAAAAAAAAAAAAAGGGGAGCGGGCATGAATGTGTGTATGGAGTGTGGCTTCTTTCTTCCTCTTGTTATGGCTATGTGTTTTTTTTTTTACAAAAATATATCGTTATCTGAAAAAGAGAAAGAAAGAAAGAAAGAAAGCAGAATTATTAAATCCCTCATTTGATGATGGTGAACGAGTGCAAACGTCCTTTTCATCTTTCTCTGTTTCTCTCGTTTCTTTTTTTTTTTTCAATAAATAAAGAGCATCAAAACTAAATTACGGCGACGATGTTGACGATAAATACTTACAATACTACTGTCGAAAGATCGGTCAGAAGAGAAGAAAGCAGCAGAATAAAAAACATTTTGGGGTAAATAAGAGAGATCCACAAGCTTGTAAAAAAAGAGAAGCAAAAGAAATGCGGCGACTGTTAATACTCGATATTATTGTCATGATTCATCTGGAAAGCACATGTTCCTTATATTAAGCATAGTGTTTGTAAATCAATTCAGTTCTATTATAAAACTCTGTGACAAGATCTCTCTTCGCCTCTATATATATATATGTTTATACTCGTCAAGCCTTCATAGTGTAATCATCATCATTATTATCAGCAGTTGCAGTCATCTGATAACTTGATAGTCAGCTATTCATGTTTTTCTTCGATCGGCATGACATTTTATAGATAATAGAGTTAGAAAATAATATCATCGTAATAAATACGCAAAAACGTATGTCCACATGCAAGCATACAAAAAAGCACGAGAATTAGTCAAGGTTATATGCTTCTTTTCTTTTCTTTTTATTATAATTAGAAGTGCCATCACTAATATGACAAATGGAGACAAAAACAACGATATAAAGAAAAACAAAGCTGAAAGAAAACTAACTTATTATTATCAGATAAGATTTTTTTCTTTCTGTCTTCCTTTCTTTCTTTCTTTCCATGTTCTTTATGTACCGAATGAGTCGATCAGGAAATAATACAATTTGGGACCGATGAAACCAGTAAGAAAAACATCAGACTAAACGTTTACAGACATACAGAAAAGAAAAATACAAAAATGACAACAATGAGATTCAAATAATATTGCCCGAGAAACAAAAACATGTTCTAATTTTTACATTTATTTAAATATCAGTTATTCTTTAGTAGTAATTAATAAATATGTCATACTTATGTCTTTTTGAACTGATGTTTTAGATCGTTCGGCTACAATTAAAAATACTATGACCGAACTTTCTTAGAAAAACAAAAAAACAAAAAATAAAGAGTCATACGATCGATTTTTCTATTTTTTCATTATTTGATAAATTTATCTTAAAATTTAAATATATAATAATACAGAGATATTCTTTCTTTTTTTGTTATTTTTATTTTAATCGCCATTAAATCAAACATTTAATAATAAACACAAAAAATAAAATTGACAAATATTTTTTTTTCTTTTTCAGAATAAATCATCCATCAAAACATTCTGTATCTCATTATCATGACAAATATCGATTAGAATTGTACGTATTGGTTCATAAGAAGTATTAGCAAATATAAATGAAAATCGACTAAATATTTTTGTATGCCAAGCAAGTGAATTTTTTAAACCCTAAATAATAATAAATAGATAATTATAAATGAAAAATAAGAAAATATTCATAATTATAATTATACTTTAATAAATGATTGTTGATTTTTAAATAATAATTTTAAAATAATATAAGCACCATAAGATGTTTCATTAAGTATATCAATAAGTTTTTCAATTTTCATTGATATAAGACAATCATATGAACTAATAATAAATAAATATATTTATTTGATAAAAAAAAAAAAAATTACAAAAAATTAGTGAATACCTTGATAAATCAGATCGTTTAAAAATAGTTTCAATGATAAATAAACATATTTGATCATAGGAATTTAAATCATGAAGAAGATCAAAAATAAAATCCTCAAAAAAAAAAAAAAATCATTAAATTATTAATTATATAAAAAACAGAAAAAGAAATCAATCATACAAAATGTTTAGGTAAATAAATAGTTATTGTAATAAGTGCTTCTAATAAACATCGATTTGCATTTGAAAATGCACGAGTTGGATTAATATATATTCGTATATAATTTAATAAATTATTATAATTTGTTTGATTAATTGACTATTAAAAAAATAATTTAAGTTTTGTTTTTTTTTCTTAATTGAAATCTTCTACAAACTGTTGTTAATGATGAAAATATTCGTAAAGCTAATTCACGATGATGTTTCTGATTATCAGTTCGGCAAAAAATTGCCTTAAATGAGTAAAATATAAAAATTTCAATTTAATTTTAATTACAAAAAACAAAAAAAAATAATAGGACTAAACAAACATGTAATAAATAACCATAAGCATTTTGAATAAAATCAATAGGAATATCTGTTGATGATATATATTGACGTATTAATTGACAATTTTTTAAAAATTCTTCATAATATATAGTTTGACTAACATGATTATATCCCTAAAAACTGAATTAGATGAAAACAAAAGCTCAGCATTATTAACTTCTATACTTCACTACAGTACATAGCCCATTTTAAAGCATTTAAAATCTCATTACTATTATTCCAAGTGATAGATTTTGTTTGATTAATTGTTGTATAAATTCTCATTGTTATATAAATACTTTTAAATAAATCAGTTGTCATTGTCTGAAACTACAACAAGATAATATAGAGAAAAAAAGAGAATAGTTGTCAAGATTATATCCACATATATAGATCGATCGATAGATATGTATGTCGTCGCATTGGTGAATAGAAATCAACAAATCATAATAGATATAAAGATGACATGATAGAATTCTTTTAGAAAAAAAATAAAACCTTTTTTTTTTATTTTTCACCGGTAAGCATTCTATAAACAACATTCAAAGCTATATATAACAAATTTTCTGTAGGATATTAAAATATGTTTGTATGATTTGTTATAACATTTGGATTGATATAAGAAAAACCACGAAATGTATCTGGTGGTGTTGATAATAATAAAACTTTATCTTTTTGTTCAAATTCAGATAAACGTGGTTGTTCATCATTGGATTCAAATGATATTAATGACTAAATAAATGAATAAAAAAAAAATATCAATGAATTGACTAGCAAATCTATTCGTTATTATGTTATAAAGAAATACACTTGATTGTCTTTAGATTTTACTGTAGAGGATAAGTGGCAATGTACTTTGTACTTTCTCGAAGACTAATATACAATATATTTTTTCTCATGTAGAAAAGTACATACCAATAAATCAAAGGATAGAATAGATCGAAAGAAAAAAATCGTACTCACAAGGGAACATTTCTAAGTGTCAAATTGCTTTTTGAATAGAGATTATGTGCATTCAGCAGGTTCTAATGAGCTATAAATACTCTGTATAGAATTCGAAGTAATAGCTTATTAATGGTGAGATACTGTATTTTTTTAGCAGAATGCTGTGATATTCTCTTCAGGGACACCGAAAAAATTGAGTTTCGAATTTCAACTTGAAATTTTGCACAGTGGGGAGTCTTAATGAAAATAGTTCATCGTGAAAGTTTCACCTTCTTTTTTGATTGAGCCTATTCTGAAATAAGAACATAGGAATGTGCCGTTGTATATGAGCGGCATGAAAAATATGTTTTTACCATAGTCATATCTTAGGATAGAAGCGATCAAAAGATCTGAAATTTTTACAATAAACTAATCTCATTAAGGCATGTTTCCATGTAAAATTTCAAATCAAAATTCGAAATTCCGTTTTCCTGATATTCTTGAAGGGAATCACGGCATTTATGTAAAAATTACCGTAAAAGTGCACTATTTCCGTACCAATTAGCTAAGAATACGAATTCTTTTCATAGTATTTATAGCTCATTAGAATCTAATGATATCTATATATAGTTCCGACCCAAAAAATGATTTGACATTTAGAAACATTCCTTCATCAGGTGTACGAGTCATATTTTTTGCATCTTTTTTTGAAAATTTTCTTCTACTTAGGGGTATCCAAAAGTAGTGGCGCCATTACCAAATTTCTTAATAGAAAGGTTGAAAAAATTTTCTTTCTTTATGAAACGATAGAGCGTCTTTCGCTCTATTTTTCTATGCTATTTGATCACTATTCAAATGATATCATAATAATAAAATTTCGGTAAAAAACTGTTTTTTGTTGAAAAGTAGCTGGTGGCATTCAATTATAATGGGTGGAACATTTTTGTATTTCATTTTATTACCATTTAATAGGTTGTATTAAAAAAAATGAAATATACCATAAGATACAGCGTGAAAAGGTCTACAATTTATAAAGGATGGCTTATTTTATAGTTGCTCTTTTTATTGTCAAAATGGAAGAAAGTCTGAGCGACCGAATTTGGACATTGCGAAGACGAGATGCCTTTTTTTGATAACAGACGAAATCATTTTTTCTTATCGCATCTTTTTATTACCAGATCTACTGTATTAATAAAAAACAAAATATACTAAAAGGCGCAGCGTGAAAGGCTCTACAATTTACAAAGAATCATTATGAAAAGATGCGATAGAAGAAAAAAAAGAATGTGTCTTTTACCAAAAAACAATCTTGTTTTTGCAACGTCAAAATTCGGTCGCTCAGACTTTCTTCCATTTTGACAATAAAAAGAGCAACTATAAAATAAGCCATCCTTTATAAATTGTAGACCTTTTCACGCTGCATCTTATGGTATATCTCGTTTTTTTATAATACAACCTACTAAATGATAATAAAATGAAAAGGAAAAGTACCTCATTCTTTTATGCCACACCCATCATGATCCAAATGCCACCAGCTAGTTTTCAACAAAAAACAGTTTTTACCGAAATTTTATTATTATGATATCACTTGAATAGTGATCAAATAGCATAGAAAAATAGAGCGAAAGACGCTCTATCTTTTCATAAAGAAAGAAATTTGCTAATGGCGCCACTACTTTTGGATATCCCTAAGTATATCATTTCAGTCAAAATCGACAGTTGCATTCATTGATTGAAATCTAGTACTACTCAAAATTATCAGAACAAAGAAAAAAAGAAAACTTCTGATATTATACTCCCATTTGTCTCTATTTGATTATCTTTTGTTTAAATATGAAATCTGACCAAGTTTAAGAAATTATTGAAATGGTTCTTTAACTAAATCTTTTCTCAATTAGAAATGTGCAGTTTCAATAAAAATACTGACAGTGAGTTTATTGACTACATTGTATCGGTATTCACGAAAGCATTGACACACCCATACAGTATGGACATGGCAGGTAAATCAGTGAATGCCGATTTAATATAGTCAGTGTGAGTTTTCGGTGGATAATTTATTGAAATTATATATTTCTATTTTCAATTAAATAAATTTATTCTTGTATAGAATACATACATTAGGAATCCATGGTGGAGGTACTCGACGATTTTCAATATTATCCAATGTAAATGGTTCTCTAATAAAAACAAAATCAAAATTAAAGAAATATTTTTTTTTCCTAGATTTTCTTTTTTTTTTAATCTTACTTAAAAAATGGTTGATCTTTTAATAATCCTAATGGTGAATTTTTATTTCCTAATCGTTGTTTTGGATCACGTTCAAGTAAACCAGAAATAATTTTTTTTGCTTCTTTTGGTAATGTTTCAGGATAAAAAACATCTTTAAAAAGAACATTTTCTTCAACTTGTAATTCATCTTCATCATAAAATGGTGTTATAAATGTAAATAATTCATAGATCATTATACCTAATGACCACCAATCAACATTTTCATCATGTTCATAATGTTTATAGATTTCATAAGCTATATATTCTTGTGTACCACAAAATGTTGTTGCTTTTGGATATTGATTAATATTTTGTTTACATAAACCAAAATCACCTAATTTTATATGACCATCTTCAAAAATAAAAACATTTTCAGGTTTTAAATCACGATAAGCCTATATTCAAAAGAAAAACAAGATTGAAATGAAGTACAACAGAAAAACAAAAAAGAAAAGTACGTACAATAAATTTTGAATGAAGAAATAAAAGTGCACAGGCTATTTCTCCAGAATGAAAAATAATACGTTCATATGGAAATGGTCGAGGTGTTTGTTTTAAAAGAATACTATAAAGATTACCACCTCTAGCTACTTCCATTATGAAAAATAATCGTTCAGCATTTTGAAATGCATAAATTAATTGAGTTATAAATGGATTTGATCGACTTTCAGCCATTATTTGTTTTTCTAACATAACATAAGGTAAATCATGTCCTTCTAATACAAGATTTTTACGAAGTACTTTCATTGCATAATGATTTCGATCATATTTTACTAGATAAACCTATTTATCAAATAAAAGACAAAAATAAAGACTACTGAAGTCATGTATTAATTGGAATTAGACGAAGAAAATCTCATTTATTTTTATGTAGATATAAAAAGTTCTAATTTTGAGACAAAAGTTTATAAATATTTATCAGAAAATGAAAACCAAAAAAAAAAAGAGAATCATAAACATCAAATATCGAATTACGACATAATAATAAGTAGTAATGTGAGAATTAAGAAAGAGCTTCTGCAATATTTTAGGATGTTTTTTCAGATAAATATTAAATCATAGATTATATCCTAATTATACAAGCATTAAAAAAAAGTCATTTGAATGAAAAATAAATGAAACATACGTGATATAAAAATTATATACATGTTATTTTTTTTGAAAGATAGCAATTAATTAAGAAAGAAAAGTAAAATCTTGGTAATATATACTATTTAGTCATTTGCATTACGGTCACGGTCGTGACTGAGGAAAACATAAAAGTTTTTCACAACAGTCTTCTCTAACGAAACTAGAAGAATAACTCAAGTTGAATCCTTTATTCAAAATTGTCTCTTTTTCAAAATGCCATTTGAAACTTGAACACACATTTTTCTCTGCCGGAAATTGTTCAATCCTCACGTCTTAAATGTCATTTTAAAGAAAAGAAAATTCTGAACAAAAATATTCAATTCGAGTTATTCTTCTTGTCATTTTATGAAAATTTATTATGAAAAACTTTTCTTTTTTTTTTTAATCACGACCATGACCACTGTGCAGATTAATGAAAATGATGAGACATTATTTTAAAATATGTGTTTTGAAATGATTTTGTTTTTTCAATAATATTTTGATGCATTCCGTTTAATTTCATTATCATTTTCTATTGAGTTTATAATATTGGTTCTCGAGAACTCAAAAGCATAATAAAAACAATCACATTGATATAGTTCTATCAGAAGTTTTCATCGATTTTACTATCAAGTATTAAGTATCAATTGATATATCAATAGAAAATATAAATAGTTCATAGATAAGAGAAAATTCAGTGTGTACCTAGATTTCAATGGATAAAGCTAAAAAAGCTCTGTATCAACACTGCTTAACGGCATCATAACAAGGTACTAAAAAATAGAAAAATTATTTCGTTATGAAATATTCTCGAACAAAACCATATGTAATATGTGTGTTAAAAAATTTTCACGAAAAACCTATTACAAGTTTTCTGGTATAGTGCAACTCGTTAAAGATAAATATTGATAATTTTTTAACAGAAAAAAAACGCACTTCTCATCTAAATCTAGTAGAATAACAAAAAAACCAATAATAGAACTCAAGAACTTTCCATGATAAAACCTATTTCCAACAAAAAAGGAACGGACTCTACGTTTTAGAAACACATAATATAATCATTTTTCTTCTTGTCATTAACACAACATGAGAAACCTTTTCCAATATATTAATTTTTACGAATACTCATTACTTCAACAAAACAAAAAAATCTCTTTCTTGATTAAATATAAAAATCAAATTCAATAAATAAGACTTACTACTCCATTCATTCCTTTTCCTAATGTACGTATTAATCGAAATTGATTTATATCAAATCCAGATGTTATATTCGATCGATAACATTTTGATATACGTTCAATTTCTTTTTGAACATCTTGTTGTCGATCAGTACTATCAAGACTTGCATAAATATTATATAAATCACCATTATATTGATAATTATAATCTGAATCACTAGCATGCTATAAAAAGAAAATCAAATTTTAAATTCTATTGTTCGAGTTTTCTTTTTGTAATCTTCAACTTACTATTTCTTTCCATTTTTCATATAATGCTAAAACATTTTCTTCACATCCACAATAATTACCCACTTTTGCTATACAACGACGATGTACAGTCATCGCACAATCTTAATTAAAAAAAAAGAAAAGAAAAAAGAACAGTGAATTTTGAGGCAAAGTCTTCTGTTTTTTTTTTCATAGGGCAACATCATACGAGAACATTTATGTGCATGACCAGGTCGAATAAAACTTCCACAATGATCACAAAAAACAGGTTTTAAAGAAAATGATGGTTGTTCAAAATAATGAGGAACATTGATTTTAAGCTAAATGCAAAAAAAAAATAATTCAATAATAGAAATATTAGAAAAGAATATAAAATCTTACATCAGGATATTTTTTTCCTTTACATGGAAATGCAAATCTATTATAACATCCTTTATGTACAACACAATCACATTGTTGACATTGAAAGCCTTGATAAGAAAATCCCCTTTAAAAATCAATCGAATAAATATCTTTTTGTTTTTCTTCTTTAGTAAAAAAAAAACAATGAACTGACCAAAGAAAATCCGAACAGACAGAACAAACTGTTGGTAATTTAAATATTTTTGGTAGAAATTTATGACCAAAATGTTTATAAATTTGTTGACGTCGTTCAGCATAACGATTTCCATCTTGAAAAATATTTGCTTGACGAAGTGTTTGTCCAGATGCATCTAAAAATGTAATTAATTTAATTTAATTAAACTTCTCAATGAATTGACCTTTATATTTTATAATCATTTCAGCTTGAGCTTGTGGTATAAAATTAAACTAAATTGAAAAAGATTTTAAAATTCATTAAGAGAAAAAATAAATATCCTATATTCTATACTCGATGTCGATGTCCATCAGCTATTTTTTTTAATGCATCTAAATCTGACTCGAATGTGTAAGTAACATTATTCCAATGAATTCGAATAATAATTTGTCGTTTTATTTTATGTAATAAACCAGCGTCAAATGGAATATATCTCTCTCTTTCAATATACATTGGAAACTTTACTTTTGTTGGCTCTTCAAAACAAAAAAAAAACAAACTAAAGTTATTATTAATTTCTTATGGATTTTCTTTTCTCTGATACTTTCAGTATTATTGCGTGTTGATCGATATTTTTCTTTGAGTTCAATTTGTGTTTGAATATTCGATAAATTTACACATTGATTATAATTATTTACTTGAAAACTCATTATTTGCATACGTAAAAATGGATGTGGATGTTCAGACATATCTATAAATGTAAAAATCTACTTTTTTTTAAATCAAAAAATGATTGTTATTTATCATACTTGAATTACATGATTGAGAATGTGTAAATTTCGAACGTAAAGTCGACGTCATTTTTACATTAAATAATGATACTTACTAAACAATTTCACTTTTTCTATACACGTTAGGTTTTTTTTATATGACAGTAAACATCATAATAATGATTGAGAAGAAAAAAACGTCATAATGGAATGTGTGAGTGCAAATACGATAGTTTCTTTTTCTTTTATTTTTCTTTTTGATCCATAGAAGTCGAGAAGAAGAAAAAAAAAAATGGTACAAAGATACACTAATAAAAGAAACAGAAAAAGAAAATATACATGCCAACTTGAAAAAAAGACGCAGCAGTTTATGCTCGAAAGAGAAAATGAATGATTAAGTGTGTTCGGAATGAAAGAACAGCAAAAGTTTCTTAAGATATTTCTACAAAAAAAATAAAAAAAAAAAAAAAAATTTCTTCTTTTTATATAATATTATAGGCTTAATGAAGGATCAATAAATGAAAAATTCTCAAATTTATTATTATTTATAGTAAGTGTGGTATATATTGATTGTTTATCAATATGTGATAGACGAATTTCTTCTGTTGATAAATATTCATCTAGTAGATGAGAAGGAATCTAAAAAACATGAATCAAATATATGATTCATTGAAAATTATACTAGAAACAAAAAAACAAAAGTATACTGGTTTTCTCCATGGACATGGCAATTTTCCTTGTGCAATATCTTCTAATGAATATGGAGATGAATAAAAATTACTTGACTTAAGTTCATTTATACCAAAACGTTCTATTGGATTTTTTGTTAATAAACCAATTAAAATTGTTTGAAGATCATATGAAATATTATTTGGATATTGAAAATTTCTATAAATTACATTTTCTTTTATTTTAGATTCATCTAAACCATTAAATGGAGTATTAAATACAATCATTTCATACATTATTATACCCAATGACCAATAGTCAATAGGAAAACTATAATTTGTATTCTGATAAATTTCTGGTGCTATATATTCAGCTGTACCACAAAATGTACGTGTTGTTTCTGTTCTACAACTTAATTGTTTACTAAGACCAAAATCTGATAATTTTATACAACCATTTTGCATTAAAAGAATATTTTCAGGTTGGAGAATATTCTATAAAGATGTACATTATTAATAGATTTGATATTCTTATGTTTTATTTATCTGAAAATATTACGAATAATAATTGCTCAGATGATTATACAATATCTCATGATATCGTAGAAGATGTTTTATTATTGAGCAAGTCAAATAATTATATTTGAATATTATTTTCAGTCATATTTTTTAGATATATTCAAGTATAGATTTGAAATATTGTTAATTTTCATTTTGTTTACTTTTGTTTTAATATTAGAAAATTTCAATCTTTTTCTCTTGTTTGTAGTATAAGAGTAAACTTATTCTTATCGAATTAAATAATATTATGTTATTTTAATATAACACCATGAAGCAAAAACAAATTGAGTGTGTAGTGTAAAAGATTTTTCTTAACCTCCAAGTATATAGATAAAGGCATAAGTAAATATAGCGAATCGATGAAAGATCAAAATGAAATTCATCCTGAAATTCAAATGACTCATTAGTAAATGATTGCGATCGTTTCTGTATGTCAATCGATCGGTTTTGATAATGAGAACAAGATTGATAAAAAACAAATTAATACCAATGAATGATGTAATCGCTCGGAGTAGCTTCTTACCAACATTCTTTGTTTTCTAACAGATATGACAATGTTCTTACAGCTATCAAAAGTAAAGTGGTTAAGTTATTCTGAACATATTTCCGAGGTACTTTGTCCGAGTCTCGTCATCATCAGATATATAATGATCATGAGCAAGTTCTTAACGACTGTTGAACTCGAATTACTCGTTCAATAACACACTAACTACATTGTGGCGTACATCCAGGAAGGAAAAAACGAAAATTTAGTACTGCCAAAGCTGTCCTCTAGAACTTTTTAGCTGTTTGAAGTCTACTATCAACGTGTGTTACGAACATATTAGTTTGAGTTCATTTTATAATAGCTTGTCTGGCAATAACACCTACATACTTCCTCGTACTTCAAATTGGGCTTTATTGTCAGACAAACTTACACAAAATGAACTCAAACTAATATGCTCGTGACACATGTTGGGTGTAAACTTCGAATAGCTAAACAGTTCTAGAGGAAACCTTTGATATACCCTTAAAGTACGAAATTTTTACTTTTCCTCATTGCGTACATCATTCCTTGTGGCTAATATGTGGTTGATCAGTGTGTATGAGGAGCTCAAGTAATTGAACAGAAGAATCCTACATCAGGCTTGCTTCCTATTCAGAGTTACAACTAGATTAATTCTAGGAAAATTATCGGACTTTTAAAATTGTCTTCAGATAGTATTCTATACTGCAAGATAGTCCAAAGGTAGTGTCAGCCACTTCTTCTTCATCCTTTTAAATGTTAATATGATATCTTTAATGAATGAACCTATTTAAATCTCTATGAATCTAAAAGACACCAAGAAAGAAGAAGAAGAATTAATCTTTTTTTATTAAAAACAAAATGATATATCAAAACTTACTATTAATTTCGAATGAATATAACAAAGTGCACAAATAATTTGACCTGAAAACCATTTAATACATGCATTATCAAATGTAGGTCGAAATCTTGTTAAAAATTGATAAAAATTTCCACAAGGAGCATATTCAAGTAAAAAATAAACACGTTCAAAATCATGAAAAGTTGCATATAATTGAATAATAAATGGATTTCCACGACATGATTCTAAAATATTTCGTTCATTTTTAATATATTCATACACATGAGCTTCAAATATTCGATGTTTACGAAGTGCTTTCAATGCAAATTCACGTTTGGAATATTTTACCCGATAAACCTAAAAATCATATAAAAATATTCTTATTATTCAATTTTCTTTTTACTTACAGATCCACTTGTTCCATGTCCAAGCATTGCAACAAATTTTAATTTATGAAGAAGAATTGTACGGTCATTATAATAAAGTGATGAACCATTCCTTATGCTAAACAAAAATTTTATACTATAGTAAACAATATTATATTTACTTTTGATTTAAATTTCCTAGTTGTTCATAGTTTTTTGTAATTGCATTTAAATCATTTAAAGCACAATCGCGTTGATGTTCATGTTGCAGTCTTTCATAAACATCAATTAATAAGTTTCGATTGTTTTCTTTCATTTTTGCTGTTGTACATTGTTTAGGTAAAATATATGTATCAATTAAACTTGTTTTATTCTTTAAATATAAATAATAATTATCTTTAAAATAAAAATTTGTAGTTTATTACAAGTTTTTTCCTTTGTTCATACATTTGAGCTGCTCTTTGTCTGGTACCACAATATTGTGGTACTTTTGATTTGCATTTTGAATGCTTACTCATTCCACATTCTTTAAAGAAGAAAGAATAAAAAAAACTCTAATAAACTCTATATTTACCTGAACATTTCCAAATTTGAAGTGGACGTATAAATTTACCATCATAATTACCCGAAGTAGATAAAAAACTTGGTTCATGTAAGAAATTATGTGAAACTTTTGGCATTGTACTTGAATTTGTGAGCTAGAAAAATAGAATTCAATAAGTTTTTTCTATGAAAAATTCTTATTAAACATACAGAATAGTCTTTACACATAGCTACATCATAAATACATTCTTCATGAATAACTAAATCACATAATTGACATCGATATGCCGGTGTATTAAAACCCCTGAAAAAATTAGAAGATTTTTGAATATGAAATTTAAAAAAAAACAATTTTTTTTACCTAAGAATTTTTCCACAAACACCACAAAAACCAGGTAAAGTGGTAAAATAACTTAAAAGAAAAAGATATCATTTTATCTATTTATTACTTCATTAAATTACCTTGGTAAAAATTCATGACCATAATATTTACGTATTCTAGTATGAACTGATCGTTGTACTTTTCGAATATTAGTTGGTACTAAGAATAATAAAATCAAAAAATATTTTTTTCTATTATTTTTATTATTTTCATTTTACTAATTAATTCAATTGACATCCATGCATGACTTTTATTTGTGAATCGATACTAAAAAATTGATATGAAATAAGGAATTAAAAAAAAAAGTATAAATATTTAAAAAAAACAATATGACTTCTCGAATAATTTGATCAGTATATCGGATTAAATCTTCAATTGTAGTTTGATAAATATAATTCGTTTTATTTTTATCAATATAAATATCTATAGTTATCTGACGGCCTTGTTTAATATGTGTCATAAAATATAAACTACCAGTCTTGTCATCATATGTGAGAAATTTTGGTTGATTGATTACAACTGTTTTATTTTAAATAAAAAAAGAAAAAAAATATATATAAAGTATAACATAAAGAATATTGACTTACATTGCGGTGGATCAGCTGTGTCAACTCTTAATTTAATATTTTGTAATGGTTGGATTTGTTTTCCAACAAAAAAACGACAAAGATGTACACGAATAAACGGTTCATTTGTAATTTGATTGTATGATGCCATTAAAATATTAAGTATTAATAATTATTAAAAATTATTTGATATCAACAATTATTTAGTTTATGATAAGAAATTGTAAGGACAAACATGATGTAAAGAATACTATAAAAGTACTTATATAAATAAAACAAATTACGACAAAAGGTTCTTTTTACATCTCTCATTCTATTTTCTTTACTTGATAACTTGAAAATAGTAAATCTTACATATCTATATGAGTTTTAGTAGATATCAAACTTACTAAAAATCTATAATAACATCTTTTATCTATCTTCATGAGAATTAATTTTTGTGAAACTTAAAATATTTTGTGAAGAAACTAGTGAGTGAAAGTTTTAGGTCGAGATTTTGCGGCTCCCGTCGCCTCCTCATTACTGACCTAAGGGATCAGGATTAAAGATCATTGAATATGTTTCGTTAGCAATCACAGATATAAATCAATCATTTTAACATTGTTCTCGATTTGCATAGCGAACAGCATTGGTTGAAATTTTAAGTTCAATATGAGAAGTAACCAAAGAAAAGAATGTAGACTTAATGTACTAATATGTACACTAGTAATTAACAGTAAGGCAATGATTTTTCTTATTGTAGTTAGTGTTTTAGTATCCATCTGTAACTGTTTCAATTCATAGGAAACATCATTATAATCATTTACTAGCCCGTGTCATCAAAATCGTGGAAAAATTGGTAACTTTATCACGATATCTTAGACCGATTAATCGTGAGATGGTATCGGAATTGAATCGCCTGAAGTGGCGATTTTTATTTAAAAACTCGTAATTATTCAAATACATAGTGGCTGATAAATAACACTAAGATAAGGATAGTTAAATACCTTTGCATCCGTTTAATTAAATAGGTTGATCTTTTTTGTTAGTGTTAGAAGTTCATGCAAACTTTTGTTCATGGGGATAAAGTAAAAAAAAGTATATTACTGTTAAGCATTATTTTTCCTATCATGAAAGAAATTTGATCTATTACCAACGAAAATAAATACATGTCTAGCGTTTCACAGATAATTTTAGTTGTCAAATAGGAAAATAGTAAGAATAAGTCGAAACGAACTTTATGAATGGATCTATATTAGTACACATAGAGCAAATTTTTTAAAATTATGTTAGTTTAAAAGTCAACGAATACAAAATTTCGAGTTTTCATATATGAAAACATTGCTTTTTGGAAGAAATTTCATGTTTTCGTACTTAAAATGTTGTATTTGTGTATTTTATTTATGGTGCACAAATTTTAGGATTTAAACTGACTAATATAGATGCTGAAATATAAGGCAGATGATTGTTTGCTGAATAGCTTTTTATAGAAACAAGATAGAGATCTGCGGTTTTCACCATTCGATAGAGAATAAAGACCAGCATTCAGATATGTCGAATTTAATTGGTTTTGAAAACGAGATTATGAAGTTATATTCCATTTGTTTTTGACTTCTAATATCATCATTTGACAGCAAAAATTGTTCTCTTTCGATCTACACAAAGTTAACATCTCTAGCTTGTTCTTTTCAAAAGATATAGAGATTTTCCAGAGATTTCTGACTTTGAAAAATTGATCTCTGATCACTCAAAAATGTGTCTGGAGAGGGATAACTGACCATACTAAGTGGAATGGTGATGCTTGTTCTGCGTTTAAAAGTGATCTCTGAACACTATAACAAATTTTTTGAAATCTCACATTTTTTGCATTATGCAACCTAAATAGTTGATGTTTTGAAAATTTTCCTATAATGTTCACAAATTGCTTTTAAACGTAGGACAAACATCACCACTCCACTTAGCATGGTCAGGTACTCTTCTCTAGACACAGTTTTGAGTGATCAGAGGTCAATTTTTCAAAGTCAGGGGTGTCTGGAAAATCTCTATTTCTCTTGAAAGGAACAAGCTAGAGATATCAGCTTTGCGTAGATCGAAAGAGAACAATTTTTTCTGTCAAATGATGATATTAGAAGTCAAAAACAAATAGAATATAACTTCATAATCTCATTTTCAAAATGACCATATAGAATTCACCGGATTAGTCAATTATCAATGTGACGGCTCTCTTTCGCGTACATGTATAAATGCCTCTGTTCGCGTATTGCTCACCAGCCATTCTTGACTCATCTTTTCACTTCTTTTTTTTTCTCTTCTCTTGATGTTCTGTTTCTTCCATTCATATTTGGAAACATAAGCCACAAACAACTCAAAAAATCGTTATAATTAGGTCAATGAAATTCGAGATACCTGCATGCTAGTCTTTGTTCTCTGTCGAACGGTGAAAACTCAAGGGGGAAACATCGTACTTTTGTACTTTAAAGTACGTTAAAGTACCTCAAAGTACCTTAAAATACCTTAGAATCCTTTAAAATACTTTAAAATTCTTTAAAATACTATAGAATACTTTAAAATACTTTAGAATACTTTAAAGTACTTTAAAGTACGTAAAGTACAAAAGTACAATGTTTTCCCCTTGGGCCACGTTAATGACCTTTTATCGGAATATTTTCACAACCCTGTAAACTTTCATATTTGAAAGGAAACAATATTAGCTTAAAATTTTCATTTGTTTTTGATATGATATTCGAGATAAATTATATCTTGCTGATGTTTGATTAGTTCATTGCTGATATTGATAACTGAAATGAATAGAATCTTACCAATATTTGACGTGTTCACATAGTTAGAACTAATATTTATGATTTGAATTGTGACAAATTCGAGATAGCATTCATATATTATCCTACAAAAGCGAATAACGAAAGAGAAAACTTTTAGAATATATCTGTTGTATTTAGCAGTGAACCGAAATAATTAAATACATATCTATCAAAAAAAATAATACAAAAGCAACGTTAATATATGTTCATTTTAGAAAATCAATATTATTTTGTCTTCGATCCGTTTATAATCTTCTTTGCATTTACTGATAATTCTACTCTTCGATTTATCTTCATAAATAAAAAGTGCATGAGTACGAATACAAATTGTACTTGAGAAATGAATAACACTCTACTGTGTCAAGAATCATTCGTGCACCTCATGTATCACCATCTTATCGGTACATATGGGCACTACTATCAATATATATAACCCTGGAACATTTCAAATTCTAGAACTCATTTACTGGCATGCGTCGATATGTACTAACCAGTACATGCACTACCATGAACGGTCCAGTACATATTAGTACATGAAATCTAAGATTTAAGATTTTTCAAGGATATATGCTTTGTTATGATGGTACATGTGCATGCACTACATGGTGGCACATTAGATCATATAGTAGGATATGTCAGTATTAGTTATACTCATATTGGCGCATTTCTGTCATAAATAATAAGATCACTATGTGTTCATCCATATATATAGTGGGCATCAAAATTATTCAACAACGTTTATTTTTAATATTTTCCGCTGCTGTAAGTGCTAGAAAGAATCCAAATAGTGATTCGAATAGAAAAAAGTGTCTCCAAAATGAACATAAAGAAATAAAAATTATTATCAGATTCTCGAAGATAAAGATTTCAGAAAACCAAAAAGTTAATTTTTTATCACCTAGAGCACGTAAATATGATTTTATTTAGACTATATAACACGATACAACAAACAGTTCTCTACAAAATGAGACATCTTCGAGTTTTCTGCGGCATTTTTAGCTGAGATACAGCAATTTGATTGAAGATTAAAAAAATGGCTTTTCTATAAAAAAAAATAGTAAAAAAAGACTTTAGAGGCTTTCATAAAATTATTGTATCTGAACCAAAAAACGTCGCAGAAAAGTCGGAAGCATCTCATTTTGTAGAGAATTATTAGTTCTCTATCATGCTATGTAATCTAAATAAAATTATATTTACTCGCTCGAGATGCCGAAAAATTAAATTTTTAGCTTTCTAAAGTTCTTTTCTATGAAAATGTGATAATAATTTTCATTTTCGTATATTCTTGTTGGACACAATTTTCTCTACTCGAATAACTATTTAAATTCTTTCTACTGCTTACAGCAACAGAAAAGAAATTGAAAATAAACGTTGTGGAATAATTTTACTTCCCACTTTATCTATAAGAATTCCAACAATAGCAACAATTTTCTTATCTCATATTAGTAATTATAATTAAAAATATCATCTAAGTTTCTCTTATATAATCTTCTAAATAATTGATATGGTTCTCAATAATCTACTAATTAGTTCAAACGTAAACGAAAAATTATTATGATTTCCATCTCTAACACAAAATATTTGACACATACAATCTATAAAGGTTAGAAAAAAATTAATCATTTTGCTAAGCTAAAATTCGAATTTAATTATTACAGACTTTTTCAGATATTCCGATATTGGTCTGTATATATATGGAAGTTGAAATTTTAATTTCTCTTGTAACATAAACATCCAACCAAAAATATGGAAAAATTTATCATTGAATACAATTATTCAGATACTTTGAAAAAAAAAGCATCTAGCTATATAGAATACTTTTGATTTAGTACTCATTGAATTAGATTAGATATAAGTGTCACAGCAATTGTCGCTTATTTATATTTGCTTCAACGATATATTCTAAATCTTTCATCTACCATTGTCATCAAATCTTTATTATTTTGACTAATGAATAAAAACATTTCATATCTATATCTATAATTATATATATATATTTGTTTTCGTCATTATGGAAAATATTCTCTTTTGCACAATATCACATACACAACAATGAAGAATAGAATATGTAAGAAGAAAAAGAAAACAGTATTATTATTATTATTATTATAAATAATTATCGGTCAAATATCGATGTTCTTCCTCCTTTACCAATATTTTGTTCTTTTTGTCGTGTACGACAATTAAACATTGAACTAACATATGCACGTAAATTTGGATTCATAAAACAATAAATAATTGGATTTAATGCATGTGTACATAAATATAAATAATAAATCATAATAGGACTTTTTATAATTCGTTCAGCATTTAAAATTGATGGTAAATAAAAAAGAACAAATGATACTGTTAT